AAGAGAGCAGCTGTCATCTGTCATGAATGAAATGGCTTCACAGTCTTTTCAGCCACACAGTATCATTATTTCTGTATTACAAACATTCAAATCACATAAATGTTTATAGTTCAGATATAAACTGTGTGTACGATGTGTATGGTAGCGATTAAAATAGAGTAAATCACCTTTTGAAAGTTAATTTGACACTTCAAATGAAGATTATCGATTACATTGTTACGCCAGTAGGTGGCGAAAAGGGGCTGTTAAAATGTATTTGTCTTTGAATCATAAAAGAGATTCGTTCAAGAACGCTGATTCATCCTGTAATGAAACAAGTACATTTTGAGTGAGTCATTTAATCATTAATTCATAAATTGCTTGTGATTTTGTTTAGTTGTCTAATGTTTTTTCTTCAGAATCACGAGAGAACCACAACTTCCATTGGGGAAAAAAAAGAAAAGAAAAAAAAACTCAATTTATCCAGAATCATGCAGTTCTATTTTGCACACAAACAGCTCTTAAAGAGTCCAGTTTTTATGTAGCCTGTTGATTTTTGTTCATGGTATTCAGCTCCAATAAATGGTTTACAAAAAAGAGACTCAGGATAAATGTTTGATATCATTATTTAATCACATTGGAATCGAAACTGGGAATCGAAAAGAATCGGAATTGATCAAATTCAAACGATACCCAACCCGAGTCAGGATTAGGTTTAAAGCCACAGTTGTAAACTTGAACAACATTCTTATCAGCATAGAGTATAATTACCCTCTGACTATAGGGTTGGTTTATGGTTAGGTTATAATTTGGATTAGAACTACTATTAGTTTGACAGGGAGGATTTTCTAGGACAAAGAAAGGACATTCAAACAAAAGAGGTAGAACAATTGTGTTCATCTTGGTAACTAACATGTTAATGAGCTTCCACACTGGCAGTTTATTTCGGACCAGAGCACAGTTTGCATAAAAAACTGTTAATGTGAAAGCTGTCAAATGTACCTGGGAGCGCACCGTGGTACCAAACCCAAGATTACCTGTAGAAAGTGGTCTGAGTTTGGTTACAATAGAACTGTGAAGTGATTAGCTTGATATTGAAAGCAACTTAAACTCAGGTCCTCATTTGTTGAGGAAGTAAAGTAACATGTATTCGTTTTAGCTAATGACAGTGTCATTAGTTCATCGAAACACATGTAGGGGATCATGACAGTGGATGAAGAGTTATGCAAGCAAAAGTGAGCGTGCATCTTAATTGCTACAGAGTGAGTGCAATCAGAGCGGTAAATGAATGGCTTGCAGTCAGTTGTCTCCTCAAATGAGACAGTTTGTGAACAGCAGAAATCTACCTTCATGCGACGCACATAGACGCAAGTGTTGTTCACTGTACTACGCATAATGTCATATATCCATGTTGTGCTTTGCATATTTGTGATGATGTAAGATGGATGCAAATTCACCAGGGTTCGATAGAATCAAGTGGTCTGAAACCAGTCCTATCGCTTTTGGATTCGGAACGCAGCAAAGGTTCCTACTGTGAAAGCCCCTTTAGATTATGCATTATAGCACGTCACATGTTACTTTTGGAGCACACCATCCACTCACAATTCAAGAAACAAATGCAAATATTTTAACTATCAGTGTGTGGATTAAACCGTGAAGAAACAAACCAAAGCTTGAAAGGATTGTTGATGCTGATGCAAACATCTGAAACACACTCTCATATTCACACCAACTGAACTTGATCCAACGTGCCTAAACACTAGATGAGGATCAAAGAATCGAGTTTGCAGAAACAGTGGATGAATAATTTAGTCAGTTGTGGCGCTTTAATTGCACCGCACCTTCCTGTTAAATTAGGTCCATACAACATGTGTCCAGGCTGTAAACCTGCACTGTAATAGCTGTTTGAAAGCCATTTGATGTGTGTAAATCTCCACTGACTCTGCCAAGACACAAATCTCCCACTAACACCAAACATTTTGCTTTCAACACACCCTACAACTCTGTTTTGTAAGCTCTCTCAATTTCACTTTTTCTCCTAAAGGCCAACCAGCCTTATTACTTTGTTTATTGATCCCAGATAGCAAGTTGGACTGTTTACTCTGGTATTTCTTGAAGAACTCGATAGTTTTCCCTCTCTCTCTCAGGTCAGACTGAGTATGTTTCTCGTATCCGAAGACTAATGGCTGAAGGAGGGATGACAGCGGTTGTCCAGCGTGAGCAGAGCACCACAATGGCTTCCATGGGCAGCTTTGGCAACAACATCATCGTCAGCCACCGCATCCACCGTGGCTCCCAGACAGGAGCGGACACACAAAGCCGTAGTGGTTTGAGCCCCACCCCTGGGCCCTCTTCTAGAGCCCATGAGACTTTGGCTGGAGCTGCAGGTTCATACTCCCACGTCCTCACCAGCACTCTGGGGCTTCATGCGTGCATAGCTCAGGGCACCTCTACAGATATAGATCTAGCCCCCCTAGTAGAACAGGAAAGACTCCACACGTCCCTCCTTTCACAGGAGTTTTCACCTCTTTTCTCATCTGCTCCAGACACGAATGGACCTTCTGCTTCCATGGAAACAGACAATGTCATGGAGGGGGATGAGCTCCAAGACTTTGAATCCCTCTCTCCATCTTTACTTTCGTCCTCACCCTCTCTTTCTCCAGTGAGTAACAGTACCTACAGCAACAGCGACAGTAGTTACCACGGAGAAGAGTATGGACGGTGAAAGGGGCGGAGTTTGGAGAGGATTCATAATTTGAAACCAAATGAGACGAGAAAAGACCACACAACAGAAACTTCCTGAAATATTTGCACTTGACCCAAGTGTTCCTTTCGTCTCGCCATCAGCGATCATATTTCGCATCTGCTCTGACACAGTCTAGTAAATAATGAAAGGACAAAAAAGTAGTAGTTTCCTGCTCAGCTTAAACTCGCCAATGAATTTAGACCATTCCACACTGTACTTTAATCAGCCTTGCTGAAGTTTCAGGGGTCTCTGACTGCCTGTTGTCCATCATGATCAAAGTGTTCAAAACAGAGCCACGTACCGAAAAGGAGCAGAGACAGAAGCATCACTTTGCAGTCTTTAGTCTGTAGAGGAATATCAGTTCAACTAAACGCTTTGCTCCTCTACATCCACGTTCAAATGTAACATTTCAGATGCCATTAGAAGCTGCTGCTTTGAGCAGAAACGTAAAATCCCCTCAGACAATCCAGTAGTTACAAAGCCTAGTCACATTCTGCACGACTTGGTTATGTTACTGTTGGTTAGACAGTAACATAACCAAGAGTCATTGCTGTTGAAGGAAGGACTATTTTAGATGACGACTGGTGCATTTTAGTTCATGTTTTTTATGAAGTTGAAAAGACCACACCCTGTTTTTTTAGGCCGTTGGAAAGAACTCGCCCAAAAATGAATTTTCTGTCATCATTTACTCACCCTCATGGCTTTGCAAACCTGTATTACTTTCTTTTGCGAAACACAAAATAAAGAATTGAGAAATGCCTCGGTTTTGTTTTTTGTTTTTAAAACAATGGAAGTCAGTGGTCGCCAATGTATGTCAGAATGTAGTCAGTGGTCATATATATGTTTAATTGCCAAAATTCTTCAAACTATTTTCTTTTATGTTTCACAGAAGAAAGAAAGTCATACAAGTTTGGAACGACATGAGAGTGAGTAAATGATGAAAGCATTTCCATTTTTGGGTGAACTATCCTTTAAAGATGTGATGTCCGGCTACATCCTCATCATCAACTGTCTTCCATGTGGTCAAGTCAGACTCCTTTTCACAAAAACACCTCAATATTTATGCTTTGCCCTGAATGAAAATCAGAAAGACAGATTCTTAAAAAGGGTCTTCCCTTCCCTGCTTACAGTAAAATGCTTCTCAACACAAAGTGATAAACGTCAGAGCCTCAACAGGGAAGCAGTGAAGTCTGACAGGTGTGTGTATGTGAGAGAAACGCTATCCCAGTTCTGTCAGCTACTGTAGATTTTCAAAGTCTATTGAAAGTTAAGCAGGCACCTGACAGCAATTGTGTTGCATCCTTCCCTTTTATTTCTTATGTAGCACTCTGGTTCCTATCTGCTCTCTCAGAAAACAGTGAGGTGTGTGTGTTCAGAGAGCTTGTCCGCTGAACCTGCCTGAAGTCTGCCACTGGCCACTGTTATGCCTATTGAATTGTAGAATTTATAGCACATTTTGACTTCAGCTCGTCCACAAACCACTTAATAACCAATCACAATGTCTAATCTGCTTAAGTGTACCATATGTTGATATGTGACCTTAGTGAGTGTCTTCTTGATGGGTTTTTCAGTATCGAAATGCTGAAACACAAGAGTGCTACACTACTGCATAGGGAAGTCGGATATTTAGATGAATGTTTGTGGGTGAATGTTTATGTGAGTTTATTTTTTTTATTCACAGGCTTAATGCATTATGGTCTGCATTAATATGGAGAGGCTCTCTCTGCTTCTTTTGGCAAACCACTTTATCCTGAAAATGAATGTCTGGCGGTGTCTCCTGAATCAAGTCAGAGCACATCAAACTGCTGCTTTGGGAAACTCTGCTTTAGAGCTCAGCTCACTGGCCTGCTACAGTAAAAACATCATTTTAGTTCTACTCCTGAAGAAAAATTACAGCAGCAGCTCTTCTGATGGATTATGTACTTAACATTAAAAATTGTCTATTTTTGTCCTTTTTTTTTGTTTGTTTGTTTTTCTGTTTGTTTTTTTTAGAAAACCATGTTATTAATTTTTTTTTTTTTTTTAAGGAAAAAGCAATAATACATTGATCTGCATTCTGGAAAACACAGTCCTCTATGTGATTTAAATGGAATAAAATGATAACAGACATGCCGTGTTGTTTGTTTGTGTGTTGACAACGATGAGGATTAAAATACTCACCTGCTAATGTTTTCTTTCTAACTGTATTTTTATTATGGTCCTTTTTGTTGCAGATGACCAGGATGAGAGATGTCTCACATCCTGTTACAGTTTTGACTGATTTTGCTGCACCTATTGATTCTTTAAACTGAAGTCTCATGCAAATCTTATGAGAGGTCCAGATGTTATTATACACTGTACTTAATTTATTATATACTGTAAGTCTTTTCAGTTAGACGCTTAGCTACACGTTAGCCTTGTTGCTCTTGGGCTGACTTCAGATCAGTGCTGACTGCTTTAGGATTATGCTTCTCGCGTAAATAGATTATATTCAGATAATTCCAGAACTGTGAGTGAGACGAAGATGAGATGGTGTTCACTGTGCTAACGTTGAATCTAAGAGACCATTTGAATAAAAAGGCCTGTAAAAAAAATTATCTGTCAGTTAGTATTAAAATTTTCAAACCTGCCGAGCTTCTTCAGGCATGTGCTATTGGATTCTGAAGGTACAATGATGTAATTTGGGGTTGTTAATTGTTAATCTTCTCAGTGGAAATGGTTCGGAGATGTGGTGAATAGGAATGAGAAGTGTGAGCTCCAGCAAAAGCCACATACAGTAGGTATAGAAAAGAATCAGATTTTGTTGCTTTGCAGCCTGACATGAAGACGGGCACAGTTTTTGTTTTATCCAGCTGTATTTACTCAGTGCAACTTATAACAACCATGTAAAAGATATAACACCAACATGTCAGAAAACAAAAACAAAAAACTGAATCACGGAGTTGGAAAAAGGATCACCCCCTTGTGTCAGTATTTTGCTGAACCACCTTTTGCTTTAATTACAGCCTTTAGTCTGTTGGAATAGGTCTCTACTAACTTTGCACATCTAGACTTTGCCATATTTGCTCACTCTTCTTTGCAGAACTGCTCAAGTTCAGTTCAATTTGATGGTGAGTGTTTGTGGACTGCAGTCTTCAAGTCATTCCACAGATTTTCAGTGGGGTTTAAGTCTGGGCTCTGATTAGGCCATGCAAGGACATTCACCTTTTTCTCCTTCAACCACTGTGTGCTCAGTTTTGCTGTGTGCTTTGGGTCATTGTCATGTTGGAAGGTAAACCTTCTTCCCATTGACAACTTTCTGGCAGAGGGCAGCAGATTTTCCTCAAGATTATTTTTCCATACAAACCACATTTGTCGAGAATTTGTGATATTGCTGTCACACGCACACAATGACCACTCTTTGTCATAAATTCCTGCAGCTGCTTCAGAGTTGCTGTAGGCCTCTTGGTCGCCTCTCTGACCAGTTTCCTCCTGACTCTTTCATCCAGTTTAGAGCGACGTTCTGATCCAGGGAGGTTCTGTGTTGCCCAAATACTTTCCACTTCTTAATAATAGACTTCACTGTGCTTCTAGGCATTGATAAAGCCTTTGGAATGATTTTGTATCCATCTCCTGACTTGTGCCTGTCCACAACTTCATTTTTGACAGTGCCTTGCCACCCATAGTTGATTGTTTACTTCAGTTGCACTACCAAGGACTGAAATGCTCCAGGAAAGCTCTTTTCATGTTGAGCTAACCAAAATGATCACAGCTGAAAGTCAAATGGCTTTGTGTGCCATTGAGAAGGTTATTAGCTACATCTGATTGAGTTTACTTTCTGAGTAACTTTTAGGAGGGGGTGATCATTTTTCCAACACAGTCATTCTGTTTTTTTATTTTTTTCTGGCATGTTGGTGTTGGATGTTGGATGCCACTTGGAGTTGCACTGAGTAAATACAGCTGGATAAAACAACAACTTCAGTCCGTTTTCATTTCAGGCTGCAAAGCAACAAAATGTGATTATTTTAAGGGGTGGTCTATTCTATTCCCACTATATATCAGGGAAGCAGCATCAGGAAAGTCCTCACACTGATTAAATGGAATAAAAAATAAAAGTCTCTGTTCTTCGGACCAGACCTGTAATTAGGACCTCTCTCTGGTGCACACAGAGAGGTGACACCAGATGACATAACTGTTAAAAATATCAAATTCATGGCATAAAACACACACCCGGAAACACTTGCATAAATGAAAGCAACAGCCGATTGAGCTAATATGAGGCTGTAGAAGCAACATGCAAGAAGATATGTGAGAACTGTCTGTGCTTTAGGCTCCATTCAACTAAAACTGTGTGGTGGCTAATTGCTGGTGTAGATTCAAGACAGCAGAGGGCTCATTAAAAGAGAAAGACTCCTGAGAGGAAGGAGGGAGAAAGGGCTGTTTCTATACAGCATTCTGCTGCACAGTGCACACATACCACATGCTGTACACATGGCAAGAGTTCAAGATTTGGCAGGTTTGCATGAGGCAATAAGCCACTGTAACTACACCATTCTGGTGCCAAAACACATATTTCTCCATTGATGATAACCTTTTACAAGCAGCACTGTATTCAGACTAAATATATATCTATTTTATATTTTTTTATTTGTTGTATTTATAAGAAAAAGGTAAATTGCATGTTTTTTATTACATGGATGTATGGATAATACTGACCCCAAATATAGCCAAGATATTGCTATTGAAATAGCTTTCTTCAGGTATTGTAGACTTCCTTGATAGAAACACTTTGGCTGGCTAATCAGTGTCATCCTGACAGATATCGAGAGTTTTAATGCAGCTCAGAAACATCCATTCCTGCCATGCAAAATGACACCGATTGCTGTTCCCCCAGACTGAGCTATGACAGAATGTCCCTGAAGGGCTGGGAGCCGCCGCAGCGCTCACTTTTTATATTGAGAAAACGATTATACACTTTTCCCTTAAGGCTCTGAGAAATTCCACCTGTCTAGCAGGAAATTTGTTCGCCATTAGCCTAGTGTGTCTTATTTTCAACTTTGCTGACTCTGCATTTCTTGAGTCTTTCGTCTCAGATATCAGTATTGATGCTGTGAATGAGTAAAGAGGGCAGGGATTGCCACGAGGAAATCATAACTCACTGCATGTTAACCTGTGAGGTTGACAACAGCAGGCACTGCGTTTCAGACCATGAGTGAGCCCTCCCTATAAAGCTGATTTCAGTCATTTGGTGTAGAAACAAAGCACTGATACTGACATGATTACAGGCCTTGCTGAGCATTATCATCACCTACACTAACTCGGCTCTCGCTCTCCAGAACTGCTGTTGCATAAAGTGCTCCGCACAGGTGCTCTGAAAGAGCTGCATCGCAGTTTTGACAGTGCCTTGCCACCCATAGTTGATTGTTTACTTCAGTTGCACTACCAAGGACTGAAATGCTCCAGGAAAGCTCTTTTCATGTTGAGCTAACCAAAATGATCACAGCTGAAAGTCAAATGGCTTTGTGTGCCATTGAGAAGGTTATTAGCTACATCTGATTGAGTTTACTTTCTGAGTAACTTTTAGGAGGGGGTGATCATTTTTCCAACACAGTCATTCTGTTTTTTTATTTTTTTCTGGCATGTTGGTGTTGGATGTTGGA